TGGAGGTCACCGGGAGATTCACCTTAATTTAATAGAATACATTAAGAGAGATCTAATTTGTTCTAGGACACATTCACACACACTTAATCGTTCGCTAAGAGATTAGTAGCGATTAAGGGGTCGTAAGCTCGCTCGTTTTGGCAATAATTTAGGATCTTGTCGCATGAGAGATCAGCCTGGACCCCTAAATTATTGTACTCTTCGCCGCGAGAGCGGTAAGAACTTAGTAATGATTAGCTAGGCTCAATTAAATTAAATTCATGTAATTAGGCCTGTTCTGCCAGAAATCTGGTTAATCGCGGAATCAATTCCTGTTCCCTTCGTCGTTAATTAAGGAAAACCAAATCTTTTTACCTGCTTCTTAGCATTAGTTTTAATTCAATCAATCAACCAACCTCGCACAATTGCACTTTTATTTTATTTATTTTTTTTTAATCGCTAAGTTTAGTTAATCTTTATTTCCCTTTTGTCCGTCCCTGTGGAGACGATACTCGTACTTTTCACCACTTTTCTGCAACCATTTTAAGTGCGAGAAAACACACATCAGTCAACATAATTGTTAATGAAGGGGCATTTTGGTCTTTTCATATGGGGTTGTGATTGCAAAAACAAATTTTTTAAAATGGGGTGCAAAGTCTAATTTATATAATAATATCGGGTGCAAACTCAAATTATCCCGAAAGAAAGTTAGGGAAGGAAAGAAAGACAGGTGACATTTATCTAAATGATCTGGTGATGTTTTTAAGTGAAGGGTGGAGATTCATTTTAAGTGAATCGTTCAGATCATTTTGTATTGCTAAGTATAGTTAGTGGATTATGAATTATTCTTTTATGGAGTAATAATGAGGTTTGCTACTTGAATATGTGTATATCATATTTTTTTTGTCCAAATTTTTGTGACAACTATCGTATTATCCAAATAAAATATGCGTATTTCTACGTTTTTTAAAACTCGCCGTTGTTTCAACGAATATTTGACCATTTCATTCATGTTACCGAATAAAACACATATGTATTAAACCCCGTTTAATTCCCGTACAGTATCTAACTAACTATGATTCATTGTTTTGAAGCGACTTATATGAGATAAAATAGAATAGTGGATTCTCCAAAAAATAGAATAATGGATAATCATTCACCCTACAAAAGAAACTTGACAAAGTCCAATGGGATGGAGGGGGTATTTATTATTACGAATTTTAATTAAATATTATAATTTTAAATTTTATTTTGGTAAAAAAACTAGTTATGTCATATATTGGGAAACAGATCTGTCTTTTAGGAAGTGCAATAGGTGCTTTGCACCGGGGCCCACTCTTGAAGGGGGCCTCCAAAGTTTTAGAATGTAGTACTCTGTATTAGTTATATGTTGGTTTTTCCGTAAAAGTTAATGTGTATTAACTTTTTAAGAAAAGTGACGTATGAATGTTTTAAGATTACAAGAATATTAATAAAATAAAACTTATTTATATAAATATGACTATTCATTACTATAAAGTAGTGTTGTGGTAACTTAAGTTTAAAAGTCTAACATAAATTACTATGATTTCATTACTACTCTAGTAATTAATCATTTTTTTTGTAAACCATCTTTATTTTGGTTATATTTATGTAATTATTTCATGTTGTTTTAAACTAATTGGCTTGAATATGAAAAGTATATATATGCATGTATGAAATAAGGATTTAGAAATGAAAACTCACTGTAATCGAAAACTAGTCAATTAAACCGAACTGATATGAAATGTAAGTCTAAATTAACAGGATAACTAAAAAAAAAAGTTAAATGTTAAACTGGCATGTATACTTTTTTTTTTCTTCAAAAGAAAGCCAATAACTATATTAATCAAGTCAACATTCGCTTGATGGCTACAAATACACTCAAGACAGCGATCACAATTACTATGACCAGCTTTAGAAAGGGCCACTCTAGCTAACTATGAGCAACATGGTTCGCGGATCGTTTACAATAACTGACAATAAAACTAGCTTCAGAATGAAGAATTTGTATAATATCTTCAATCACCACATCAAAATAGGAGTTTCTGGGATCGCCTTCCAAACTAGTGGCTACAACTTGTGCATCCGGCTCGAGGATCACTCGGTACCATCCTTTCCTTTTTGCCCAAAATAATGCCTCTCGCACCCCTATCGCCTCTGTTATTCCGACTGACCAGTCTGCATTGCAAGAATCCCAACCACCTCCCATAAAATTACCCTCATGGTCGAGCGCTACCCAACCCCAAGCTCTTCTGCTCCCTCGATCATCAATTGCACCATAAACATTGATTTTTATTTCCGCTGGAATAGGTCTCTTCCATCTAGCTCTCGACTCCACCCCTCCACGTGGTACTGCTGGTATGCCTTGAGCTGTCCTCCAGCCTTGAAGCATTGCAGCTCCCATATTAATTACCTGTGAGGGTTAAAAGACTTGTTATTCCAAACCGCTTCATTGCGCTCCTTCCAAACACTCCACATTAATGAGATAAGTTTGCATAAACCGCTTCATTACGCTCCTTCCAAACACTCCACATTAATGAGATAAGTTTGCATAATTCCTCTTATGTGGAGGTGTTAAAAATATGTTCCACCCAATCCTGCATGGAATTTGTCGCATGCCACAAATCCATCCCTGCTTTGCTCCATACTTCCGTCACCACTCTGCAATCTTTGAACAGATGGATTGCTGACTCATCCTCCTCATGACATAGCCTGCACTCTCCCGAGATGTCAACCCTTCCTCTTTCTCAACCTTTCCGCCGTCGGTAAAACATTAGTCATTACCTGTCAGAAAAAATGTTTAAACTTTGTTTGAATAAAAAAGCCCCACATTTTGGTCCACCCCCATCCAGTGCACATTCTCAAATTCACCAACCACCCTCCTATACCCTGACTTAACAGTACATTTCCCTCTAGAATCCCCCCTCCACCAAAATCCATCCGGAACTTCACGTTTACTGAGTGGAATGCTTAAAATAGCCGCCTTATCATTTTCATTAAATATTGAATTAACCCTTGTAATGTCCCAACCTGACCGATCCTTCTTTACTACGGCCGCTACATTCATGTCAAAAATCCCCGCAGGTTTAGCCGAAGTAACTAAACCCTGCCCATCACCTAGGAGCCATTTATCGTGCCACATAGAAATATCTCTCCCAGTGCCTACTTTTCTCCTTGTCCAGTCCCTAATGAGATTCTGAGATTCAAATATACTTCTCCAAATAAAAGATGGGTCACTCCCCAACTTCGCATAAAAATAGGACCTCTTCGAATAATATCTTGCTTTAAACACTTTCCCCACCAAGGACTCGGGTTCAGTACCCAAATGCCACATTAAAATCTCTGACTGATCGGTACCCCAGCCCTCCCTTTGACTTTAGCAGGCACAAATTCTTCCAGTTTTTTTTTACTCCAGGGGGTGTCTGGGGTAGGGGCTGGGATAAGATTTAATATTTGCTTCTTCCAGTAATGTTCCTATTTTGCTCCAGGTGCAGCCTGTTGGGACCAGCAGGAGGCAGCTGCTGAGACGTTATAACATTATTAATGCCCAGCGATCATGCAATTTAATGGACAATTTTTTCTGGACAAATAAATGCCAACGTGCTGGACATTAATGTCCAACGTTCCTGTCCATTAATCTGTCATTAACGCACAACAAATCAACAAAGCAAAACACACAACTCGTTCTTCACGTTGTTTTCAGCTCAAATACACCTATATCATTCTGCAAATTTCATAAGTGTTCTAACTTTTTCACGTTCGCTGGAACAATTCGCTTGAGTGTTCAATGCTTGTTTGTAGTCATCATATTCTGGGAAACAATCATTGCAACACTCTTAGCACCTAGGGAGACAATGAATACGTTTTAAAGACATCATGCGTAGCACGAGCTTTGGCTAATTTTTGCTCCATCTCTTTTATGTTTTTTAGTCATTTTAATTAATTTTAATTGATTATTTTTCTTTATTTTTTGAGACACACCCAACATATACTCCCTCCGTCCCTAAATAAACTTCTATTTCGCTTTTTGAGGGTCAACTTAAATCACACTTAAACTCTTACTTTATGTATCAAAATTTTATAAAAAGTGAATTATTTTTTGCAGGTTTTGTAGCGGGTTTGATGTAGTTTTTGAATATGTAAATTTTATTTTCTAAAAATAATCCGAGTTTTCACTGGGATCATTTAACTTTATCGCTGGTCAAACTTCGTAACCCGCTATTGGAAGTTTAATATGGGACCGAGGTAGTATACCAATTTCCAATCACTCTTTCTTGATAGATGAGGTGGATCTTTTTTCCCTGACCGACCGTAACCGGTTGAATCCTTATTATATTATAATAAAAAATAATCACTTTTAAGATGGTGTGTTAATCACTAGAAAATCTTGTTCTTCACTTTTGACCGGTGCCCTTCGTTGATTTCCAACACTTGGTGTTGTCCTTTTTGCTTCTATATTTCATCTTTTTTATATTTTGGTTTTAAAATTCAACTCCTTTTTCGTAAAAAACAATAGTAATGCGGCGTACAATCATGAATCATGACGAGAATGAACCATTATGTAGTGTTGACTAAAATGATAAGGAATAGTGAGAACTGCTTACATAAACCACAAAAAGAAAAAAACAGAAAAAAAGTTGGTGCAATTAACTATGATGAGATTGAAGGTCCCAAGTGGTGACAAGGTAAGCACGTGGGCATCTTTCTTCAAAATAACAAGTAATGCTAGTTGTTATTTGGAAAGTGAGTCTCGTAAATACATAAAATTTGTTTAACATTTGTTTAACAATTTATTTACGATCATATCGATCTTTCATACCTCATACATACCTTATATGATTTACCTCATAACTTAGATCCCTCAACATCAACTGATATTTAATTGAGATGATATAAATTGAATTTTGATCACGAATTCGCAAATAATAAATGAGGTTTAGTCTAGTTACTTATATCCTATTTATTCCTTCTCTATTGCCTCCATTTTCCTTGGTGGTCAACAAAGCCAACCTCCAAGTGTCCAACCTATAAATAACTCCTCTAATGTCTTGCTCTAGAGTCTTGATACTAAATGCTAATAGGCAGACACTCAACAGCAAAAAAAAAACTCGAAAAATCATATTTGTGATCATATTTTAGGGTTTGTGTAAAGCTTCTCTTCATTATTAGTCCTCTCCTCGTTCCTTCTTCCTCGTTTAGACCCTGTTTGGACTGATGTGATTGGTGCGGCATTTGAGTTATTTTATCATGCATGTGCAAATGAAAATGGGAAAGAGCTTAGAATTTGACTGATGAGACAGGCATTTTAGGTGCCTTCATTTTCTTGGTTCATGTCATACGGAGTATTAGTCTTTCCTATTATAAATCTCCAAGCTTGGCACTTACTATTTACATATCCAAAAACTCCCCTAACTCTCTCTCTCTCTCTTGTTGGGTTTTCAACTTTTCACTCATCCTCTTTATGAAGAGATTATTGCAGTAAAAAGAAGCCTGATAATTAATCTCTATCTATCATGCCCCCCCATGCACATATATGTTTCTAGCAGCACCTCAAGTACAGAAAAGAAAAGAATTCTAAAGAAGTGCTACAAACCCTTCAAGCATGAAGTTTATGAAGCTTGGATCCCGCCCTGATACTTTCCACACAACTGAAGCTTTGAGGTAAATAAAGATCCTTTCTTTGTATGAAAAGATTCAGATTCTGGGTGGTCTCTCTGTTTTTCTGAGGTTAGTTGAAATAGTTGTTGCTCTTATTGATATGCAGATCAGTTTCCTCTGAAGTTTCAAGTGATCTCATTGTCCAAGTCAAAGGAATCAAATACTTACTTCACAAGGTACAATTCTGTCATTAATTGACTAATCAATTCATTAGCAATTATTATGGTTTAATTTCAAGAATTTCCAATGAAATCTAGTTCACCCTTATTAATCACAGTATTAAAGATACCTTAAATACCCAATTTTTTTTGGATAAATATAAGTTATGAAAGTGAAGTTTAATCCTGTAAATACCTTTTTCATAACTTTGGTGTCATCCTAAATCTGTCATGGTCATACTAAGTTTGGAATTTTGTCCAACCAGTTTCCACTATTGTCGAAGTGCCTGAGGTTACAGAGAGTATGCTCAGAGCTGGAGGGCCGCCGAGAAACGTCACCGCCGCAGCAAATTGTGGAACTCCCGGAATTCCCGGGCGGCCCGGAGGCTTTTGAGGTCTGCGCGAAGTTCTGTTACGGCATCACGATCACCGTCAGCGCCTACAACTTCGTCTCCGTCCGGTGCGCCGCCGCGTACCTCCAGATGACGGAGGAGGTCGAGAAAGGGAACTTGATATACAAATTGGACGCCTTTTTCAATACTTGCATTCTTCAGGGGTGGAAAGATGCAATTATTACACTCCAGAGCACAAAGGGTTTCCCATCGTTGTCGGAGGAGCTCGCCATTACGGCGCGCTGCGTCGACGCCATAGCTTTGAAGGTTTTGACCCACCCCGGGAAGAAGAATCTGTCGAGAAGCTACTCGACGAAGCGAGAGGAAGCCGTTCCTTTCTACGGGTCGAAAGGCTGGTGGGCGGAGGATTTGGCCGAATTGAGCGTTGACCTGTACTGGAGGACGATGATCGCCATTAAATCCGGCGGGGGCAGAGTTCCGGCCAGCCTAATCGGCGACGCGCTAAGGGTTTACGCCTCCCATTCCCTCCCGAACATCTCGAAGCCGTTGCCGGAGGATTCGGATTTCTCCAAACACGCCCTAATTTTGGAGTCGATTGTGAGCTTATTGCCCGCAGAAAAAGGGGCGGTTTCCAGCACCTTTCTTCTGAGATTGCTCAAAGCAGCTGCCATTCTCAGAGCTTCAAATGCTACAAAAATGGAGCTGGCAATAAGGGTAGGGATTCAATTGGAAGATGCCAACGTTTCTGATCTCTTGATCCCATCTGAGCCGTCCAAAGGTGAGACGATCTACGACGTGGATCTGGTGATGACGATGTTGGATCAGTTCATGTCCCAGGCGCAGCCCAGTCCTCCGACGAGCCCTCCACGGCGGAGCAGAGGGGGGTTCGAGAGAAGAAGAAGATCAAGGTCGGCCGAGAATGTCGATTTTGAGTTCCAGGAAAGTAGGAGATCTTCCTCTGCTTCACATGCCTCGAAGCTGAAGGTAGCCAAGTTGGTGGATGGCTATCTCCAGCATATTGCGAAAGACCCAAAATTGCAGCTGTCCAAATTCATAGCCGTTGCTAATTCCATCCCTGATTTCGCAAGAATCGACCATGATGATCTCTACAGAGCTATTGACATCTATCTTAAGGTAAATTCCATCCCTGATTTTGAACATTTATTACAACTAGTTTAAAAGAAACACCTTTCTTTTAGTGATTTGAAAATAAAAAATTTTATTTGTACAAGCTAGTTTAAACACCCGTTTACACGTCAACTATATTTAGTTTGTGCACAAATAATCGAGGTAAATGAAACTATCTATGACCCCGAAAAAATGAATTGTCTGCGCGCAGACACTTCGGGATCACAGACATTTCCATTTTCTAAAATGAGAATCAATAGTCTATGCAAATGGGCATGTAAGCTAGCATATACAAATACGTAGTAGCTTTTTTTGTTTAAAAATTCTTACAAAATTAATATTTAATTATTGGATAAAAACTAACTATTTGATTTGATGTGGTCATCTTTGATATAATAAATCGTGGTACTTGGAGACTTTATCTCAGTAGCTTCCAAAAATTCTAAAAGTTTTAGAACAGTAGTGTGGTATAAAACAATAAACTAAATATTATAGTGACTTTTTGAATAGTACAAACATTGTAGTGACTTGTTATGACATTATGAGTACGTATAGTAAGTGATTATGTAATCCGTATTATAGAAGTTATTGAAGATGTGGCTGATTGACTGAATTTGTTACGGAGTACACTATTAAGTGATTTTATCAAAATAAAGATTACTAAGATTTTAAAATAAAAAACTAAGAATTGTCCTTTCAAGTAAATTCATCAAAAAATACCTATTCGAGAATTGACCTTCATCCCTTAAAAAACCCATATTTTTTACCTTCACGGAGTTCCGGGAAATCAGATTTTTTATGGCCAAAAGTGCACTATTATAGAAAATACGGAATATGTATTACTATAGAGTGTACACTTTGAATTGTTTCACGCTCTTTCACATTGTTCAGTTACTCTTATTTGATAAGATTTTCCTTACCAAATAAGAAAGGAAGAATTTATTTTGGAACATCATAGAAAAGAATACATAAACTTTGAAAAGGGAGGAAAGTTTTATAAAGATGTGATGTGTAAAAAAAGAAAGTGTATACTACATACGTAGTAAACAAATCTAACTTATAAAGGTGATAAGACAAAAAAGTTAACCAAATGAGCACTTAAAGTTGTAGGCCCTTTGGTGCCATGTACACCATCTGGGTCCTTTAGCAATAATAGTACTTTATGATTTTGTACTATTAATTTTTTGTGTGCGACTAGCTTGTTCTTTCCAATTAGTTTGAGGTAACTTGGTTGAAGAGTGTCCAAATGTGCTGAATCTAACGAAGTTCTGCTTATTGATTTAAACGAAATACTCAAGAATATATACTATACAGTAATTCTACGTTTCACTTTAAAATCTTAATCTTGTGTTGGAGTACTCTACATGCTACAACTTTTTATATGGATATGTAGCATCATTTTTGGCTGATTTGAGATTACTTAACAGTTACTTATCCCAATAATGTGATATTAGATTAAATCATAACTGTAACAGTAACATGAATTATTGAACATGAAAAAACACAGGGGCACCCAGAACTCAGCAAGACAGATAGAAAGCACCTATGCAGGAGTCTGGATTGCAGAAGGTTATCAATGGAAACCTGCATGCATGCAGCACAGAACGAGCTTCTCCCTCTCCGGGTAGTCGTGCAAGTTCTCTTCTTCGAACAAGCAAGAGCCGCCATCTCAGGTGGGCACTTGGCAGAGCTTCCGAGCAACATCAAGGCCTTGATTGCCAATGCAGCAGCGCCACGAGACGATGACGCAAGCAAGAAGACATCTGCTGCTTCTTTTGCAAATGACAAAATCACACAGAACTCAAATCTTGCAACTCTTAAAATGAAGATCGCAGAGGACTATGAGTTGGATGGTGTTGCCGGGAAGGATTCAAGTCCAAGAATGCTCTGTGCTCCTCCCAACCGGCCCAAGAAGATGCTAAGCAAGTTGTGGTCCAGCAGGAACTCTTCTAGTCAAAAGAGCTGAAGAAAGTTTTGCTCATTTTATCAATATAACGTATAAACATAGGCTTGATTTGGTTTTATTTTTTCTCCCATTTCTCTAGTCTTTTTCACTTCTTAATTAATATGCTCTGTAATCTTTAGTAAATGGTAAATCTTAATGTCTATAGTTCGTGTAACTTATGCTAATAAAGCGCAATAGTATTTTGTTTTTCAAGTAAACAAATCGGGTGTTAAAAAATTTTGAGTCCATGGTCTATTTATTGGTCTATTGTTTGTGCATCCCGACTCCCAAAGTGTCTCAAAAAGTTCAAAGCCATATTCAAGAGTTGTCTATTGTCATCCCACCATTTCTTTGAATTTTAGCCTCTGATCTGTGAGCGTGCTCTTGCAGCTCTGATGTATTTTTCTGAACCTCTTGATGGGCCAAGTACTATACTTGGTTTTTTGGGCATAGATTAGATCAAACAAAAACCTCCTTTCACCCCCACTTTATGTGGGGGTGGAGGAGGTTTTTAGGAGATCTAGGACATGTGATGTATAGTTTTGTTTGGGTGTTAATACAAATTTACATTTCATCCAAAAAAAAAATCCAAGAAGAGAACTTCTTACTGTCCTATCAATTTTTTTCTTTAAAGTAGAACTTGAAAAGTAATTTGTGATCTGTGAGTTTCTTCGAACTAGAGTAGTCTCCTCATCACTCATACCTGATGTAGTAGTCTCGTGTACCATATCATTGTTTTGAGCTTTTGGCCAAGTGAAGGATAAGAAACCTGCAAAGGTGTTGCCTCAAAGACTTCCTCTTCCTTACCTTGAGTACCTTCAATTTCCCCTACTGAATGCGCGAGAGTAACTTCAACTCCATCCATTCATGTAATTGTTCGGGTGCAGACATTTTTAAGCTTTGCTTAGTCAATGATAAACTCAAATCTCTAGATTTGTTCATGTAATTGTTCTTAGAGTATAATAGTATTCTTCTCCGGCTCCGCTTCCCCTCTTGATCCTTCAGGTATAAAGTAGATCTTTTCTTTCATCTATTCAGTTACACTCTGTGTAAGGGTTGAGGATAGCCTAATCCTCATTATATACCAGGAGAGTCATTGGATTCAAAAATGGTAAAGGACATCATGTAATGTTTAGCCAATGGAAAGGATTTGTTTGTCAAAATTCTTGTATTGCTTTTGTTCAAGATTTAGGAGGCTTGAATGACTAGTATATTTCGAAATCCAAAGATCATTTAGAAGCTGTTCCGTTCACCTGATCTGAATGTTTCTGATCTGAATTTTTTAAGTTCTGATCTGATCTGATCTGAATTTTTCTGATCTGATCTGATCTGAATCTTTCTGATCTGATCTGATCTGATCTGAATCTTTCTGATCTGATCTGAATCTTTCTGATCTGATCTGAATGTTGCTGAACTGATCTGAATGTTTCTGATCTGATCTGAAAGTTTCCGATCTGATCTGAATTCTTCTGATCTGAATCTTTCTGATCTGATTTGAATATTTCTATAATTGTAATTATAATTATAATTATTAGATTTATAATTGTAATTAAAAATATAACTTAAATAAAATTACAATTATAATCATAATTATAAAAAAATAATAATTAAAATTAAATTTAAAATTATAATAATTATACTAATTACACTAATTATAAGTACAGATACAATTATAAATGTAATTATATTTTTAATTATGATTAATTTTATAATTATTATTGTAATTATAATTATAATATTTATTTCTATAATCATAATTATATCTTTAATTACTAATTTAAATATATAATTACTCCGAAGTAATAATAATTACAACAATAACAACAAGAACAACAATCATATTAATAATAATGATGATTATAATTAGAATTACATTGTAAATCATAATTATAATTATAATTATAAATATATTATATTATATTATATTATATTATATTATATTATATTATATTATATTATATTATATTATATTATATTATATTATATTATATTATATTATATTATATTATATTATATTATATTATATTATATTATATTATATTATATTATATTATATTATATTATATTATATTATATTATATTATATTATATTATATTATATTATATTATATTATATTATATTATATTATATTATATTATATTATATTATATTATATTATATTATATTATATTATATTATATTATATTATATTATATTATATTATATTATATTATATTATATTATATTATATTATATTATATTATATTATATTATATTATATTATATTATATTATATTATATTATAATAATTTTATATTATTAACATTATTATTATTATATTATTAATAATATTATTATATTAATATATTAATATTATTAACAATAATTATAATAAAATAATCATAATTAATATATTAATAAAAGTGATAAATCATGTTTGAATTTTTTGATCTGATCTGATCTGATCTGAATGTTTCTGATCTGATCTGAATGTTTCTGATCTGGTCTGATCTGGTCTGAATCTTTCTGATCTGAATGTTGCTGATCTGATCTGAATCTTTCTGATCTGATCTGAATGTTTCTGATCTGATCTGAATCTTTCTGATCTGATCTGATCTGATCTGAATCTTTCTGATCTGATCTGATCTGATCTGAATAAAATAAGATTAAGGAATAAGTAATAAGATTAAGACGAACGGAACAGCTTCTTAGTGTTAGAGTAGGCATAATTCAACTAGTGTATGATACCACAATACCATCTCTTAAAAAATGGATGAAGTACGGAGTATTTTACTTTCTTACCTGATTCATTCTTTAATAGTTGCCCACTTTGAATTTTACACTATTCACACCCCTAACTTTGAATCTTTGTCATGAATTTATACTAATGTGTGTGTGTCTGTATATATATATATATATATAATCAAATTACTATATACTTCATCTGTATTTTAAATATTGCTACATATGGTTTTGACACATTATTTAATGAGGAAAGTAGTTGGGACTCGGGATGATGAATAATGTAAAAAAGTAGGAGATATGATGTAAAAGTATGAAAGAGAAAATAAAAGGTAGAAAATGTTAGAGTAATTGAGTGTTTTTAAAGGAAAAACTTATAATCTATCTAAAAAAAGAAAGTATAGCAAATTAACTATGAAATACGGAGGGAGTATAAAGTATTACTACGTATTAATTTTCTCTTAATGTGAACATCCAAAATGATATTGACTTTGTCCCGCTAAATTGTCTTATCTTTTCTAAGATTGTGTCATGCTAAATTTGGTAAAATTTGTGCGGTTTTTAACCATTCTCACTTTCCTCCTACTTTATCAATTCAATATCAGCGACATAAACTCACTTTTCTTAATAACCACACCAATTGCTTATGTCTCAGTGTTAATGGGACAGATATAGTAATTTTTCATCATTTTTATTAATACATAACTAAATTTAATTGTAGTCAAAGTTATGTGTTCCCCAACGTAAGAGTAAAACTCTTGCAACTAAAAACGAACGGAGGTAGTATAAAGGGTTTGGTTTTATTGAGAACACTTCTTCCCGTGAAAATGAGAACGACCTGAAAACATTATGGTTCATGAAGGTGCGCATTTATGATTCAGCTAATGCACAATTTAAATATGCAGAAAAAGCTAAATTTATTTACAAAAATGTCACCGTATTTTTTTTACTTATGGTAGTGCATATTTATGGTTCACATAATGCATAATTCTCAAATGTGACGCTTCAAATTTATTCACATTTCTCACGTTAGATCGTGTTCTGATTTTAATCAATTTTTTTGTACCAATCCAATTCGATCCCGTGCTGCGTGCTCTGGCTCTCCCATATGATATACTCCGTATGGTGTAACATTAGGAAGATCCATCGAATTTGTATTGTGATTTAGCTCATCACAAACACGTACTCTAGCTAGAGACTGAACTGGTCAATTGAGGTGATGAATATACATTTGACAAATACATGACAGAACACATGACCGTCATTATGCGCTCAAGAAGTTAAGTGGTGTCGCCTTCATCCATTCATTCATTACGGTTTTAGAAGCTGAGGAAGCTGCCTTTGGCCATAGATCATAGCTCTACCACACATCATATCAACCAGCTAGGTTGCTATTTATAGACAGGACTGCCCAAAGGACAGATGTCTGCAAATTTGTGATTTGAAGCCCTGAATTGGTGGGTTTAGATCCTACTCCACAGAAATGGAGGGCAAAGACAAAGACACAACACATATGACATGTGAGTTTGTGTGTAGGTTAAGAGGAAGAAAGGAGCCCAGGAGGTGGTTGGTCAGGGAACAATGACTCAAATCATCTTTGTTTGCAAGGGCCACACGTGCACCACTTCTGCCATAAATCATTGAGAGTTAGTACAAGGCAACCGTGTAAAAGGCCACCTATATATGGCTAAGTTCCATGTCCACCTCTCGTTTAATCATAATAATTGAGAGTTACTACTACGTATGTTTTCTTTTGCTAAAAATTCTGGTTCAGATTTAAATTTGGTCGGGTCTTATCTTAACTCATCTGATCTGATTTCTTATATATCTGATCTCTATGTATTTTATAATTGTTTAAGACAGGTCTGATCTCATCTGGTCTGTTTAAGTCTAGTCTGATCTCATCTGGTCTGTTTAAGTCTAGTCTGATCTAGTCTGTTCTAAGACTGAAAACCGTCCAAAAGAAGACATCCTACACTTCTCCGTCCCATTAAGATTCTCTCATTTCCTTTTCGGGAAATCTCATTAAAATTGTTTCATACCGGCCAATTTTGATAAAGTTTATATGACTCTAAATCTTTTTTACTTTATTCTTACTTTATGAATTCAATATTAACTACTCCCTCCGTCCCGCTATGATTGTCCCGTTTTACCTTTTCGGTCCGTCCCACTAAGATTGTCTCATACCTTATTTGGTAAAGTTTGTGTGGTTCTAAATCATTCTTACTTTTTTCTTTATCAATTCAATATCAACCACATAAACTCACTTTTATTAATAAGCGTGACACCTTCTCTTGTCTCAAACTTAGGGGGACGAAGGTAGTACATAAATTCACTTTTCTTAATAATCGTGTCACTCCCTCGGATTAATATGAAACCCAAATTGTAGTGAGAAATAAAAAGAAAAAAAAGTATGAAACCTAAAGAAACCAAATTTGTTTAATCGTTGAGAGATACTCCGTATTACGGAGTAGTTTTAAGTTGAGCAGAAAGTAAATTCACAACACATTTCGATAGACTTATTTTACAATCGAACCAATTCAACTTGGACTTATTTTATT